ACTAGATAAGCTCCCTTATCTTCTCTTAAAATCCTATTTTCTCTTCGTTAAAATTAGATTTAAAATTTATAAAAAAGAAAACATTACATTACTTCAATAACTTATAGATGAGCACCTTTCCTACATAGATTTTTTTTTATTAATTTGGGGTAAGTATAAGGTAATATCTGTTCAAAGATAACTCTTAACCATTTGACATTAAACGCTCATACCCCTAACATTCTTAGTGATGAATCCGAGATCTTAAGAAATAACAACATTTCCTTTAACATTGAGATCATGCTTGGTTTACGTATTTTTTTTATTAATGGGGTTAAAGGATTACAAGAATCAGAATTCTTAAAAGGTTGATTTTTGATGGGGTTGCCTAAAAAATGAGAATCGTTTGGAGATGAATTCTGGGAAACACACCCTGTTTCCCAATCAAGCTCAACCAGTTGTAGCATGAACACTCAAGCATATGAAGCTCCCACGTAGGACCACTGTTGATGATTACTTGTGATTTCGAATTCGATGCTCTTGTCCAATCCCAGATGAAGAATTTATACGTGAAAAATACTTGTCACAATAATAGATCCAGAGATTTATTAATAAAGTCTAAAATTTTATTAACTTTTTAAAATTAATGTGTATACAAATTTTTTATTATTTTTTCTTAACCTATTATATTAAATTTAATTATTTTTTAAAATAATAAGAATATATTTTACTCTTGCAGATCTTATTGCATTCGCCCCTGATTTGTCGTATGCTTTCACGGTATAGATTCAAAGCCTGCTGCAACCATGCAAATGGTGTCAAGTTTTCTAGGTAAAGTTGCGTTGGAACCTCATTAGTTTAGAGTGTTGCAGAAGAGACCTGTCGAAATGTCCCCTCAAATTGGCAATTCGAATGTTTGTCTAGATTAATTTGGGGTTTCTATTTTTGGTAAAATCTCAGGTTCAAGTCTTTGTATGTGTATAAAATTTTCGTTGGGAGGCTCAATCACCAAAACCAGATATGCGATCGAGTCGATCCAGATTAGTCAGGGCAAAGCCTTAGAACTGGAGAGCAACCATATATATATATATATATGGGACATGATCTTGTTACACAATATAAAACTCTTTTAGTTTTACACGAATTTAAGATCATTGAATGAATGAAAATAGATGATTGAGATTAACAATAGTAAATGAGAATATATTTCCTTGAAAAAAAAACAAGGAGTCAATTTCAATTATCTATTTTCACTTATCAAACAGTTCTAAATCTGTGTAAAACTAAAGAGTTTTACGTTGTGTAAGTGAATCCTAACTCTCTCTCTATATATATGGTTTTGGGAGTCATTATCAATCTTTGTTTAAGAGCAAACAGTTCTAAATCTGTGTAAAACTAAAGAGTTTTACGTTGTGTAAGTGAATCTAACTCTCTCTCTATATATATGGTTTTGGGAGTCATTATCAATATTTGTTTAAGATGCGATTGTGTTACCTAAAAAATTTCGTCATTTTAATATAATTTATATTTTTATATACTAAAATAACTTTTTGGTCTACATGTAAAAAATGAGTTTGAGGATTGATTACGTGTGAAGGATGATTAACACCCTATAATTTTATTAAAAATGAGTTTGGGGTTGTGCATGATCAGGATTCCACATTTTTTCGATTTATTTTAGAATCTAATGTGATATTCAGATTACTCGAGTCATCTATTGCGATCAGATAAAGATTATTACACTAAGAATGTGACTAAGATCAATCATGACCGAAAGAACAAGATAGTGTGAATACTTGACCTAGTAATAATGAATAAACTAATGTGCTAGGGCTTGGATTTACTGTGATAATCCTAGATAAGAGAATAAAGATTAAAAGAGTTAATGAATAATGATTAAAAGTTCATAACAAGCTAACATGTTTATTTTTACGAGACTCGTGAAATAAAGTAAAGTAGATGTGTACCACTGAGATTTGTTAGTTCAATATTTGGACTTCTATGTTCGTATGTTACATGTTTCGTGAATTATGAGGAGACAATGATGTCATCGGAGGAGTACCAGTGGCGGATGCAGTCATGATTGAGGGTGGGCACGTGTCCTTAGAATCCAGATTTTCTCAAAATTAGTCATTTATTTTATTGATGGTGTCCACCCTGAAATCTAAATTTTCTTCGACTAGTGACCCATTTTATTGATGGTTTCCAACCTAAAATTTATTTATGCTCACCTCATTTAAAAATTTTATACTATTAACATATATATATTCACCTTAAAAAATATTTCTGGATTCACCACTAGCTATACCCCTCAGCTGGAGTTGCATGAATGTCAAGAAGACCCAGCTTCGTAATAAGTGGCTTATAAGCAAGAGGTCGTAAAGTTTTGGTGAATATGTCAGCTGGTTGGTGAGAAGATTAAACATGAAAAGGATTTAAAAATCCATATGCATCTTCGTCTCAAATGAAATGACAATCTATCTCGACGTGCTTAGTACATTCGTGAAAAATCTTATTTATACCCAAATAGATGCAGCCTGATTGTCACAATACGATAGTGCAGACGTGATCGGAAGACTGAAGGATGAAAACAAAGAAGCCAACCAAATTAACTCACATTTAGTATACGACATAGCACGATACTCAACTTCACATGATGACCTACTGATCTACTAACAATATATCCTTAACCATTTGACAATGAACGCTCTATCACCCTGTTACAACTGTTGATGCTCGAAACCGTGACATCTAGAAACAACAACGATTCCTTTAATTATTAAAGTAAGTTGGTTCGTGCGACAAATTATTTTTCTAAGAGAATAAAACTCAAGGGACATTCTTAGTGTTGTATCCTTTTTTATTGTGAAGAGAATAAAAGTTGTTTTGCCACTTTCTAGTTAACAAATTATGCTTCCAGTGGTAACCAACAAATTGTCACTAATTTAAAAGGCGTCGAACCTTGTCGAAACTATTAGTGACGAAAAGTTGTCACCGAATAAACTGCAATATTGGCATAGAACCTCATGGATAAAATTCTTTTGCGTAAATAATTCAGAGAACTTCAACATAAAATACATTAATCCAAGTAGACTATGACTAGGACAAGAACCACTCATAATATTATATGTATTGTGGGATGTTTTGATTCTCTAAGAGAAGTATTGTATAGGAATGTAAATGAGACGAGACGGAATACGAGTTATTCGAGTTTGATTCGATCAACACTAGAATCAAATAGACTTAATTAGAACTTGAAGTTGACTTGAGGTTTTAACCAGCAGAGGTGACCTACTTTATATCTAACTCGAAAAGTTCAGTAGCAACTCAATAAAATAATATATTAAATTAATAATAATAATAATATTTATATGTTGTTTTCTAAAAATACAATATAAGGTTTTCATGTATTTAAGATTCGAGTTCGAGTTTGAACTTTAATCAAGATCGAGTTTAAGCTTAAATTGAGTTAAGTCTGAGAATGTTTCGAGTTTAATTTTTTTGAGCTCGAGTCCAATTTTAATTTTTGATTTTGAGTTGGAGTCTAGCTTGACAATTTTAAGCTCAAGAGCTTTCGAGTCGGTCAGTCGGGTATCAAGTAACTTGATAACATAATATATGATCATCGAGCCGAGTTTCAATTTTTAATTTTAAATTAGAGTCAAACTTGACAATTTTAAACTCGCGAGCTTACGAGTAGAGTCGAGATCAACTTTAAAATTTTCAAATTGAGCTCAACAATATTCAAACTCAACTCGATTCGTTCAGAACCCCTCCATAGGTGAAGAATTTAGCTATCCATGGCGGGATTGCATGTTGCTCTATGCACAATCCCAATCGCATGAGCTACCCACAGATGAGTGTGGCAGACAAAACCCTTGATAACACAATATATGATTATCGAGTCAGGTATTAAGTAGCTCACTTCAGCTCGTTAAGAATTTGAGTCGATTTTGAGCTTTAATTAAGTCTATTCGATTCGAGTGTTGATCGAGTTGATCGAATCAAACTCAAGTAACTCGTAATTTACCTTATCTCATTCACAACCCTACTCAAGACTACTCTTAAAGAATCAAAACATCCCACAATATATATATGTATGTATGTATATTATGAGTGGTGCTATATATGAATATTTATGTATATATGATCATGATTGTAGAGTATGAACAAGATAGGTTGAGTTCAACCTATAATAAGTTCGAGTTTAAACTCTAATCGGAATTTGACTGTATTTATTTTTAAAATTCGATTTCGATTTGACACTACTTTTAAGTTTACTCGATTAGATTTGATTCTCATGTAATTTTGGATATGGATATTAATTAGGGTATGTGTCCGGTGCTTGTAATTTTAGGAAGAATATAAATAATTGTCAGTGCATTTGTTCACTTTGTCTGATATTATTAAAAATCCTCAGCTGATATTTTTTAAATATCTACCAATAGGTTGTGTAGGCTTTAAAACATCTATACTTTTCTGCAATGGTAGATTAAGAAATATTTTTCAGGATAACACATATGTATTAATAATTTATCATAAATGTGGATACAAATAAAATTTCAGGGTGAATACTTTCAGTAAAATGAACAATTAAAATAAATAAATTCGGATTCCAGGGTTGTATACATCCGCCACTGCCTTTGTGAGGCTTCACTCAATCAATGTGCTCGGGAATCAAACTTTGTTAGGTTTTTTCCACATTGAATATTGTTGCATGCACGTTGTGTTCTTATTTTCCAGAAAAAAGATGCTGGGTAGACAAGATTTCAGGAATATATGTGTTCCCTTGGCATCAAAACATAAGTTCATTCATATCCCGAATCATCTCATATTCCCCTTCCGAATAATACCATCGTTGTCATTTCTGCAGTCGTGATAAACACAATATAATCTTAAAAAACCGTGTCAATCGATTTCGATTGACAAGGTACTTTGATACCATTCCTTTCCAGCAGCGGGTTTTCAACATTATAATAGTATCGGAATTTTACGTGTGAAATATGTGTGAAGTATGATGCCCTCAGGGAGGGGTCCCAATATAGAGATATAAACACAACAGATGGGTTCATCTTCTTTAAAGAGTATCAGATTACTTTCATATCAGCAAGGGGTCTTGGACCTTTGAGGCCATTGCAACTCCATAAGGGATTTCTTTCTATCTCCTGGTTTGGTACTTTGAAATTTGCAATGGGTACCCTAATAGCAAGAGCATTTGGGTCTCTTATGTCTGTTATAGCTCACTGTTTCTTTGGGTACCGAGACAGCAAAAAGGGCACAAGCAACATCCATCACCACAAGAAGCCTAAGGGCCAACCACTTTCTTTACAGGTCCCCTTTCATCCTCCTCCAATATGTATATATATTGCTAATTTTCTGATCCATCTTAGGTTAAGTTGCAGTTTTTATACTTTAGGTTATCTCGGTGGTTAAGGAGATGGTTGTTATCCCTTTCGGATTCGAGCACAACGTCTGCAAATATGTTTAAACATTCATTGTCGAGAATATTTCGAACAAATAATACATTCTAACTACCCTAGATTAATAAAAAAATTGAATCTCTTCATTTATTGATAATTGATATAACAACTTAATATATATACTATCCACTTTTTTTAGTACGAAAGATTATAATATAAGAGTATGTGGAAAATTTTAAGTTAACGGAAGACTTGAACTCTAGACCTATTAAATATTATCTTGATTAAATCTGATCAACATTATTTTGTGAAATACTCGAATGAATTAATTGAATTAAGTTTTGGGTTAACTACACGGATGATCACTTTTGTTTGTGTTTTATTCGCTTTTGGTCACTGATTTCAAAATAGATAATATATTATCACATTCGTTTTTATTTAATTAAGATATGATCACTTTTGTTTTTATTTATTTAAGATGTGATCACCACGGGTTAACTGCCGTTAACAATTAACATATTAAGTGACATGGTATTTTGGTATAATCACACATTTGATCCTATTATCATATTCTCGTAATTTAGTCATACTTTTAATAAATTAAAATAAATTTAATCCTCTAGTTGAATGATGTCACATGTCACTAGTGTCACGTGTCATGCCACTTGTCATCATTCAGTTGGAGACTAAATTTATTTTAATTTAATATATTCATTTTCCGCCAATTTGCCTTGCTTTTTTAAATTAAAATAAAGTAAGTCTTCCAACCGAATGGTGACACATGACACGACATGTGGTACCAATGACAGTGACATCATTCGATTGGAGGATTAAATTTATTTTAATTTATTAGAAGTATGACCACCTTGAGAGAATATATAAACAACATGGACCAAATGTGTGATTATACCAAAATATTTAACGACAGTTAACTCGTGTGACCACATCTTAATTAAATAAGAACTAAGGTGACCATATCTATGTATTCTGAAATCAGTGACCAAAAGTAAATAAAACTCAAACATAAGTGATCATATGTGTAGTTAACCCTAATATTTTTGTATCTACTTAATAGTATATTAAGACCCAACATGGTATTTCTTAGTCCCTTGGGTTTCCTATAACCATTGTTTTGAAAATCGAACCGGACCGATCACCGTTCAACCGGGAACCGTGTGCTAGTCCGGTTCAATATAAACCGATTGAACCGTTACTAGTGAACCGGCTAGAACCGCTGAACCGTTCGAACCGGACGGCTGAAAACCGAAAAAAACGGAAATTTTGTTTTTTTTAAAAAAAATTAAACCAAACAATGTCGTTTGTTAAACGAGCCAAGTCGAAATTGAGTATTGCAGAGCTCGACTCGAACTTGAAAACTTTAAAAGTAAGCTCAATCGACTCAAATTCACAAGCTAAAAATTATCAAGTTCAACTCAAACTCGAAATATAATATTGAAACTTGAACTCAAAAAGGCTTAAACTTAAAAAAAATTTAGAAGCTCGATTGAAGCCTAAAATTCGAGTTTGATTGAAGTGAAAGAATAGTTCACTCAATGCTCACCAAAAGGCTCCATGATTTTAAATGACAAATTACCTCTATTATTTATAAAAGTTAGTTGTGATGCTATTCTGTGTTTCTTAGCAACGTGAGATTGTTTTGTTCTCATATTTTTACTCTTTAGACTTTTGGGATGCTCTTCTATGTTTCTTAGCCATGTGAGATTGTTTTTTAAAAAAAAATTAAACCAAACAATATCATTTTGTTATGATTTTTTAACCCCAAATTTATTTTTTAATTATAGTTATATAATTATATTTATTATTTAATATGTTTTACCTTAAATATTATGTTGTAGTTAATTTGAATCATTTTGTTTCACTTGATTTTATGGTTTTTAACTTATATATGTTATGATTTGCTTTGAATATGACTTGTGATACAAAAAATTATTTTTTATTAAATATTTTTGGTATTTGTATTTAATTTTTTAAATAATTATGACGTTGTCCGGTTCTTCCGACCGATCGGACCGATTCAACCGGTTGAACCAGTGAACCGGTAGCATGGCCGGTTCGCTAACCGATCCGGTTCTGAAAACCATGCCTATAACCAGATGAAGCATAAATTGGTCCTAGAAAAAAGGAACAAAAGAATAACAAGAAAGATAAGCATCCATCAATTTAAATTCACTAGTTCATCTCTCTTTCACAGACTGTGGATCTCAAAGTCAGGATGTGCTGCATTGGCTGCGAGAGAGTAGTCAAAAGAGCCCTTTACAAGCTTCGAGGTATTTATTTGTATCTATCATTTTTTATCTCGACTCTCGATATAAAATTTTTAATTTTGTCCGTTAATATATTAGGTGTAAATTCGGTGGAAGTTGACCTGAAGTTGGAAAAAGTAACCGTAATCGGGCACGTTGATCGTTACAAGGTGTTGAAACAGGTGAGGAGGTCGGGAAAAAGGGCCGAGTTCTGGCCCTATCCCGACGTGCCGTTGTACTTCACCTCGATGGGCGACTACTTCAGGGACACGAGGAACGAGTTCAAAGAGAGTTACAATTACTACAAACACGGGTACAATCTAGGTCATCGGCACGGGAATATTCCGGTAACACAACGAGGCGATGACAACGTCAGCAACATGTTCAACGATGATAATGTCAATGCCATCTGCTGCCTCATGTAGGAACTTGAAGCCAGAAGGACTTAGTAATCATCCATTTCGATAAATGTAGATATTATTTGCATTCATGTAATACTATATGCGCTGTATATAAATCTTAGGTTAATGTACATTAGAAGTACTTGTATTATACTTAAAACTCCATTTTAGTCACTCTACTATGGAAAGAAATATTTTGTCTATGTGTTATACCTAAAAGTTTATTTTAGTCCCTCTACTAAAAATAAAATTTTAAGCCCTATGTGCTTGAAAAATTAACATTTTGGTCCAAAATGATGAAGTTAATGTTTGTTGGCTTATATATTTGTAGATGCTCGTTTTTGTCTGGGGTTAAGCCGAATTAGACCCGAAGTAATGGTGGGCTTAAAGAATAACCCAAACCAGTTGGAAGCCTAATCCAATGATCCATCAGAGCAGGCCACATGATGATTCCCTGTAAAATAGAAAAGGTTATGGGAAGTTAAGAAACGGGAAATGGGGAGGCATACAGGAGAATGAGGAAACTGTTTTGAAATAAAAATTAACTGCTGGGAACTAAAAAACGAAAAAAAGGGACCAAGATTAGAAGAAAAGGACACACACGGTAGAACAAAAAAAAAGGGGAACCACTGAAAACACAGAACACTATCATCAAATTACAGAAAAAGAGAGACAATCAACACAAAAAAAGAAGGAACCACCACGAGAGGAGAAAAAACAAAGAACCCAATTAACTATCAGCAATTCCACAGTGTAAACAGGATACAAAGAAAATAGTAGTGTAATCTTATAATTCAAAAACAGATAAAGCAGTAAAGGTACGTTTTTCCGAGGAATTCTTCTTCAATTTCTTTTATTTTTCAGTTTGTTTTCTTTGTTGTTTCGTATGTCTGCGATTGTTATTTAAAACTGAAAATTGAGAAGGGATGGGGAAACAATTTGAGTGGGCTCTTAAGCATTCATCTTTCTTCAGTAAGTCACATTCAAGATCAATACAAAGCACTAAAAGAAAGAACTAAGCATTTCTCATATTTTTCTGTTTTGGAAAAGAAATAAAAGATTCAATCAATTCTCTTACCCATATCCGATTCACACAAGAAATAACACCAATGAGAAATCTCTTTTTCATTTTCAAGGGCATTTTCCTAATATAGTTTCGAACCAGAAAATGGGAATAGAAAGTTAGGGTCGTTTACCTCGGCTTCTGTTGACGGTCAGAATTAAGGAGGGAACCATCTTGAACGGTGGCCAACTTTATTAGGCTCGATTGTGTAGAGTTGTAGGACGAGAGGCGGGGATGGCGAGCTATGGTCGAAAGAAAGGTGGCCACCAAAGTATGGTGGCCAAGCAATTTAAAACATGACCGAGAGATGGAGGGGGTTCATGTGTTAAACGGTACTGTGTGTGGCTGAGGGAGAGATGGAAAGTGGAGAGAAGGGGAGGAAGCTGAATATGCTCCACGTGAATTGTGTTTTTTAGTTTAGGTTTAGGTTATATGTTAAAATTTTAGGGTTAATTAGCTTTTAGCCACCGAGTCCTTAGAATTTCGTTTAATCCCTATAGTTCTTGTGTTTGTTTTCATTTTGGTCCCCAAACCGAATGTTTTCCTGTTTCCAATTTTGCATCTTTATTTTATGCGTTTTAATTTTCAGTCCCAAATGTTATGTTATTTAGTTTTTGTTATTTTAGACATTTAACTTCTGTATGGTTGCATGTTCGTTTTAGTCCATAAATCAACATTTGCATGTTTATAGTTTTGTCTCTTTATTTTACCCGCATCTAATTTTAGCCCTAAGTATTCTTGTATTTAATCTTTGCTATTTTAAACATTAAATTGTTAATTTTTGCATGTTACATTTTAGTCCCTAGGTAGAAATTTGCATGTATCTAATTATGTCTATTTATTTTATGTTCATTTAATTTTCGTCCTAAATATTGATTTGTTTAATTTACGTTGTTTAGATATTAGACTTTAAGGTTTTTGCATGTCACATTTTAGTCATGTGGGTATGTTATTTTAAGTTTATGTGATGTTGCATATTTGGCATAACATTTTCTCGGTTTTCATTTTAGTTTTACAAGTGGTCTCAGTTTTATGTTGATCTTGGTATATGTAATGCATTGATAGTTTTTTTTTGTGGTCTTTGTTTAATAGTAATTTTAGCTTTAGATTTATTTACTCATTTATTTTAATCGCATGTTTAACTATTTTTACATGACATCATTTTTGCATAATTTGCATGATAACTTCACTTGCATAACTCGACATATTCATAATTGGATTAAGGGTAATATACTTTTAATTTAAAATTGTTTCAAGGGGGCTGTCATAACTGATTTGAAGTCCGCTTCTAATGATTTTAAATTAAAAGTGTATCCCGAAAGTGAAACCAAAAAATGATTCGTCACCTAAAATTTGGGAACGAGAGAAAAAGAAATGTTCGTTTATTTAAATATATCGAGAAAAGGTTGTTATATCTTTAAGATCTGGTCTCGATATTTGTAAATAATCGAACATTCTTTATCTTTCTAAAATGACTTGGTAATTTTAATTTAATTTGTTTGAGTGTATTTGAATGTTTTAAATTTACATTTTTGTTTTATGGGATCAAAAATTAAATTAAGTTCGAATTTGTAAAGTTCATTGCAAAAACGTTAATTAATCGACTAGGTACCGATTTAGGGCGTTGTGGGGGTGCTAATCCTTCCCCACACGTAACCGACTCCCGAACTCGGATTTTGGTAACGCAGACCTCAATTTGTTGTTTTAATTCAAATTAATTTTTATTTAAAATGACAAAGCATTTTTGGGTGCTCAATCACACCCTAATCAAAGATTGGTGGCGACTCCTTGAACTGTATTGTTCGATCGTAAAGGAAATCCAAAAATTTTCGAAACAAGATGTCTTTTAAATCGCATTTGTTTTTAAATTAAAAAGAGATAATTAAGAATTAATGTGGTTTTCAAAATCTCACCTTTTTTCACCTTTTAAGAAAAAAATCGTTTCGACAGCTTGGCGACTCCGCTGGGGATTTTTTTAGGGAGTCAGGCCGATAGTCGATTAATTAAGTGTCTTTGCAATTGAAAGTTATAAATTTGTTTTAATTTGGTTTTTTATCCCTTGTTTGGTTTTTAATAAGTTTTGTTTGTATTTTGATTTAATTCGATTAACAATTAAATAGTTGTATTGATCTGTTTGCTAATGGTTTCAGATTATTTGTGAATTGAAAATTGATTTTTGAGTGCTTTTATTATGTGTTTTTTCGCTTTTCCTCACACACTACACAGTTGCATTTTCATGACATGAGCTAAAACCCCGCTCCATCCTAATTAAGTAGGAGTGAGAGACTATGCCCTCGTGTGGTTTTCACCTCCGCATGGGATAGTGGATCGCTCCTGGAGCTCACGCCTTATGGTCCTCGTGATGGTATTCACCTCCGCATGGACATAAGGAAGTGTGTTCCCTCGAAATTGAACTCGATCCCCTAAAGCCTGTGATGGGCTAGGATTGAGGGTTCGACAGCCCAATGGGGCACCGACAAGGACAATTCGAGAACCTATTACTTTAGAACCGAACCAAGCATATAGTGAACATAGATCCCAAACTTAGGTCGAGCCAAACCCGAACCTTAAGAGTCCCGTGAGGAGGATACACAAGGAAAAGCTTTTTGAGTCATTCATTTTCGTTTTTTCGAATAAATGCATGTGAACTAGATATCACGCGGTTAGGTTTATTTGTCAAGCAAGCATGCGAATTAGATATCATGAGGTTATGGTTTTAATGTTCAAACAAAGCATGGGGTAGATATCATGGTAGGTAGGATCTACTAAAGCATGATTGGGTAGCCAGCATGTGAGGGTAGGTTTTATTTGATGTTTATGGTACTTATTTTGTTGTTTATATTATGTGCACTAACCCAATTTTGTTCTATGTCTATTTTATTTTGATTTTATTGCATTCACATCTTCATGTCATCACAAGGTGTTAATTCACAAGTGATTGACTAATAAGAAGGCTGGTCATAATGAGACAAGAAATTCTTAACCATGTAATCAAAATCTGGAGATCCAGAGGCATTCAGATGATTCATGAAGAAGAACATTTGACGAATGAAGAAATTTGAACCTGACTGAAGAACGATTCATGAAGAAGGACATCCGATGAATGAAGAAATTTGAAACTGATTGAAGACCGATCCACAAAGAAAGACATCCTGAAGATGTTCCCTCAGGAGATAGATGCAGTAATGCCAAGGACGAGAAGACCCTTCACAAAGACGTGAAGAGCACTTTCCATTGAAAGTAGAGATGGAGATCCCAAGATTCAATTCAAGGACAACCGATTTCATCAAATGTGATCAAATACACCGACCATTTTGGAGATGCAATGCCAGATTCCATGAAGAGTACGGTTCAAGGAAATGAAGAATCACAATTTTATTTTGATTACATGGTGTAATGAAATCTTGTTGTCTAAATGAAGGTTGTTCTATAGTGGTCACTTTTGGGATTAACACCTTTTGCATTTTGCATCCACATTTGCATTCTCATCGCTTTAATTTAAGCACTTTTACACGCATCAATCATAAAAATGTGAGAGTAACTTGTGAAGGATACTATGACAGAAGCTCTGAAATTAAATTAAAGTTACCCTGAGACATGTTTCTGGAAAGATAGACAACAATGAATGAGATCTTAGCACGAGTTAGTAAGATCGAGAGAATTCAAGAACAGCTCGTAAAGACCCAACAAGAAATGATTGATGAAGCAAGGAAGTTCCAAGTTGAATCCATAGGACAGATGTCCAAGTTGATGAGCATGATGATTACAGTGATATATGGGGAGAAATCATAAGATGACCCTATTACACAAGAAAATATGAAGACTTCGGGTGAGAATCTGAATGTTAGTGGTGCAACCAATGTGATGATAGCAAATGATCAAGAACAGATGAAGACTTCGGGTGAGAATCTGAATGTTAGTGGTGCAGCCAATGTGATGATAGCAACTGATCAAGAACCTATTAGGGGATGTGGTAATTCAAGTCAACTCCAAAAATCAAGTAAGATTCCAGAAGATGCTACGGAGATCATACTGGGAAAAGCAAAAGTTAAGGGTGAAACTTCTAATATGAAAGTGAAGTCGGACTCAAAGAAAAGAGGCATAGAGGAGGCTCAAATGCCAGTAAAGAAGACCAAAAAG